TCCTGTTTGTCTCTCAAAAATACCAGGAAAATTTTCACCATAAAACCACAGAAGCGGCAGCTGCTTTCAGGCAGGTGAGGTTCTGACATGGAAACTGATGGGATTGCCCCTTTGAGGGCTTGGCTTCACAAGAAAGCAGTTCTGGAATAAGGGTGTATGAGTTTAAGCACACAAGACCTATTCCAGAATAATTCTGCGTAGAGAGGCTTTACATTTCGTCCTTCCTTGTGGCTTTGGCAGAGATCTTTGTTCTTGAAAGAACATGGAGCGTGGACTCCCAGGCAGTCCCTCCAGTCACTCTGCGGAGCTGCTGCGTGCATGATGCTGCTGCTGCAGACGGACGGCTGCTGCCTCCACTGCTCAGAATCCAGCCGTGAAGTTTGATGGGGAGAGATCGGATTGTCCCACCATGCCTGTTTCTCTGTGTCCGCAAAGTCTTCGCTGCGGTCCACGGGGTGCTGGTTAGATCAGGTGTGCTGTCACGGCCTGATAGTACTTGGCGTCCCTAATTCTGGCTGCCTGTGAAGGAAGCAGGCAGAGAGGGATAGCATCCCTTCACATGGTAATGTTTTATGACTTTTATTATTTAGAACAACAATCCTCTGTCATTGCTCTTGGGCAGTAAACCTCCTTCTTTAATAACCAGAGACTGGCTGCCTCTCTGTAGGACTCTCCAGGTCAGTGCCAGTAGCAGTAATGTTATTTCTCTTTGGAACTAATGTGGTCTTTTATGAGATTTTTCCCCCCCTTCATTTCAACTGAACTTTAGGCAAGTAGAAAGGGATTAAAATAAGGCCCATGGCAAAAAGAACTGAATGTGCTGTTTGGAAAGCGGGTTTCCTGCTGTGAGATGTCTCTGGGCAGCTGGCCGTTCCCACCATATTAAAACAAAGGTGTAGGAGCTGAATTTCTTCAGCTCCCATAAGCCGGGATGGGACCTGGAATACACAGCACGTTATTACAGCAAGAGGTTGGATGGCCCCACAGGCAGCGTTTCGAAAAGTGGTGGTAGAGAGATGAATTAGAACAAAGTACCTCTGTCATCTTGGAAGTGTGTGTTCACAGCAAGCAAACGATGTTCCAGGTGAGTTTGCCTGTTCGGGTGTTGGATGGTTAAGGAAGAGCACCAGTTTACAGGGACTCTGGTATCTCTGTCGCCACGGGTGCTGCTCTCTGCCCACGCTGGGTGGAAGTGGGCAGAGCTGAGAAGTATCCGCATCTCCTGCGTATATCCCTGCTGCTGTCCCAGGGGCAGTCGTGTCTCCTTACGCTCCTTTGGGGACATCAGGCTGTTAGAGTCTCCTGACAGAAACGCGCCTACCTCCTGGGAGGGAATCCTGGCTGCGGGTACTGAATCTGGGAGCGGGGCTGGGGGGCGCCGAGACGAGTCTGGGGCACGGCGGCACAGCCGCACCGGTGCCTGGTGCCCCGTTTCGGGCTGAGTCCTGCCGTCACATTGTGTGCTTAGTATTTCTGCACTTCTCCATCACCAAGTGGATTGTTGGGGGGTTTTTTTAGCACTTGCCAGCCCTTGCCCAGTAAATTGTCTTTGAATTAAGCTCTCCAGGTCTGTTACGGCCTGATGCAGTACAGAGAGTCATTCTCGCTCCGAGGGCTCCGCTGTAACACGCACGCAGTGGGCTTGTGTTTTCCCTGCCCAAACGGGGAACACCGGCTGGTCCTTCCAGTAAGAAGAGTGCCCTCACCCTGAGTCAGGGGGACGGCTTATGGCCTTAGCAGGACCTTTTTCTTACTGTTAATACAAAGGGACGTGCGTGGGGGCTGTGACGGACTTGCAGACATCTCCCAGTAAACGGCCTGCTGCTGCAAATGTCGTGTTACCTACCAAAGGACATGAGAAATGCTCTCTCCTCTGGAAGAGGGTATCAAAATGAGAGGACCGTCTGTCCTTTGAACAGACTGGTGGTGTGTGGCCCTTCTTGCGCTCCGGGGCGTTTGCAGGCCCCCCCCCGCCCCCGGACTGTACGGGCTACTGTGGGTTCAGTCAGGGGTGGCCCTGGGGTGCTGGGGAGGGGAGGGGATGGAGCCCATCGCCCTGGAGGAGGCTCTGCACGGGCAGCACTCATCCTGCTCTGCCGGGGCTGCCGCTGGCAGAATCACCCTGCGCTGCGGGGCCTGCCGCTGGCAGAACGATCTCTCACCCCTTCCGCTGAGATTTCAAACGAGAGTCTCTAATTAATGACATCTCCCCACTTAGCTCTGGATACACAGACACATGCTGGGCCTTTTAGGGCTGATTTGAGACCTGCGGCGCTCCCTCCGTACAGTGCCGCATCTGGTGAAAAATGTTTGTGTTACTGACCTGGGTAGGATCTGATCGGCTGTTCAGGAGTAAAAGACATCATGGGAGCGGGTCCTGCCGAGGCAAGAGCCTGGCAAATAACCTCCTGCCTAAGAAAAGTCCCGTTAATTTAGGATTCCCAGAGGCATACGGCAGAGTATGGAGGGATATAAATATGCATTTGCTGAATCTGGTGAGAGCATAATATGTCATGAGAAACTCCCCCTTGGTAGTTCTTCATACTGCACATCTGCACTCCCACCCGTGGCCTTGCAGCTGCAGTAGTTTTAAATGAAAAATAGACTTGTTTTGTTTTAATTTTAACAAAAATTCTTAGACCAACACGAAGCAGTCCGGCTCGGTGATGTACATGTGTGCGTTACAGTAGGTAGTTCCTGAGCTGTAGGTTTAGACTATCAATATTTCTGTTTGTCCGTGCAAGAATGCAAGTCTCAGCTTGGTTACTTAGCTTTTCTAATTTCATCTGTAAAATATGGAAATAAGATTTACCGTAAATGCTTTGATTCTGGGCTTATCGGGGCTGGGTGAGCAGTCTGTATCGTCGGTTCTTGAGCTGCTGGCTATTAGTTCTGCGCTCAGCGTCCAGAGGTAACTTCTCTGTCTGCCTGTGTTTACAGGGCAGTTTACAGTTACATTTACAGTATCATTCAGAGGAAAAGGATACGGACCCTTTTCTGTGAAAATAGTGTAAAATTGCCACAAAGTACTGGGAAATGACTGTGCTCAGTTCCTAAAGATCAATTTATTCACCATAGAGATATGGGGCGAGTGGGCAGTTTAGAGAATCACTAATGGGACGGAGAGCCTTTTCCCTCGAAGCCTCCGCTTCTGATGCAGCACAGGGCTGGGCTCACCCAGGGCTTTTGGGAGCTTTTGAGAGCTGGTGGTTGTCCCCTGAGAAGAGACTGTGGTGTCGTCGTCGGTTTTTCTGCAGATGCCTTCACAGGTTTCACCGCAGCCGGTCCTGGCTGTCAGCCTGCGCAGGCGCGGGATGCTGTGGCTGAGCCGGCGGGCAGCTGTGTAGCCGGCGTTGCTGCTGGCGGGGAAGGGTGGCCTCCGGCTCTCAGAGCTGTCCCTTTAGCACGCTCAGCTGGAGAATCCGTTATCACCTGGGGGTTCATCCATGGCATGAATCTTAATGGCACATCCAGAGAACCACCTGTTTATCTTCCGCTGCTGTTTATCTTAGAATTTCCTTTGGCTATTTTCTAGATTCAGCTTCGCGTGTGATTCACTGGAGACTATGAATTTTGCATGCGCTATTGACATTTCTCTGTGGTTTGGTCAGCTTTATTGTAGAGGACGGCAAAACTCAACACACAGACAAAGCAATCGGAGAATATACTGAGAGTATTGTTGGTTTGCTCCTAAAAGACCATGCTGAGAATATCTCAAACTCCCCTTTTTTCTGTCCTTCGATGCCTGTGAAGACGGCGTCGTACTCTCTTTGTAGACAGAGGGACACGTGGTCTCTTTGGAAGACCCTGAAGTGCTCGCCAGAGGTTTTAAAGGTCAGAGTTACTGGGATCAGAGCTTTTGTGAGCTGGCTGCCATAGGAACATTTTGCACGGTACAGGCTAGAGAGAAGGCAGCTGCTCCCTTTGCTCTCAAGTTATTTTTTCCCTTGCCACTTTATGGTTTTGCTGTGTTTTCCCTGGGAGTACCTAGCTACCTTTTTTTTTTTTCCCCCTTGAGCTCTCTGGTTTTGCTTTAAGAGTTACAGCACCATTGATTGTATTGGCTGTCTCGAAAATGGTGTGCTGCTTGCTGTCTGTGGGCTCCCTGCTGCTAAATGCTGCCAGTGGGACTCCGGAGCATTTAGATCAATCGATAGGGCTATCATGGCCTTATTTTCCACACCGTCCCTGTCCTGGGGATGTGTGTAACAATCGGAGAGAGCACACGGGCCCTGGGGTTATCGGTTACAGGGTGCGGATCCAGACACCGGCTGCATCCGTGATACAGACGTGTGCGTTCTGGTGGGGAGAAGGGTACCGGCGCTCAGGGACGGCGTCTGCCCTGGCAGTGCCGGCCGCCCCCCAGGCTTGCTCTGTGGGCAGCGAGAGACCACCGTGCTGGGCTTTAGAAGGAGCCGTCATCAATTCCTCCCCGTCTGCAGGGAGCTTCCTTCTGTCGGTCGGGACTGAGTGCTGCGAAACAGCGTGAAATGAAGTAGGGTGCTAACGGGATCTCCCACATGCAAGCAAACCCAGTGCTGTGCTGGCAGTTGGTGCTCAGCACCGCCGGAGCTCAGCACCGGGTGCTGCAGACCCAGCGGCGGGACTGAGGGGCACAGTAGTCCGTGCTGGGGCCAGCCAGCCTCCCTGGTCTGCTCCTGCTGCAACGCACCCGGGAGGTCTCACCCAGCAGCGTGGTGGCCGTTTAAAGACCTGATCGGCTGTGCAGAGACCCCCAGTCTACAAACCTCTGCTAATGTAGTCCTGACTGCATCAAAGTTTGGAAAAAAATGTTTTTACTGAACGTACGGCATGTAATGGAACCTCCTCACTGAATTATAAATGGGACAATGTAGCAGTCCTTGCTATTCTGGGCCCTCGGCTATCTCATGGCAAAAAATTCCCAGGAATATTCTGCAGTTGTTGCTAACAGATGGACTAAATAATTTCTCTGGGAAGGAAAGCATCCACTGATATCCTTACATTTTTCCTCTAGATCCCATCTAATGCCGAGGCTGAAAGAATCGCGCTCCCACGAGTCTTTGCTCAGTCCCAGTAGTGCTGTTGAGGCTCTGGATCTCAGCATGGAGGAAGAAGTGGTCATCAAGCCAGTCCACAGTAGCATCCTGGGACAAGACTATTGCTTTGAGGTAAGGAGCCGTTCTCTCCGTCCCGGGGGCCGTTCCTGCCATGTGGTGGGGCTGACTGGGGAGCCAGGTGTGGGTTTGCGTCTTGGGCTCTCGCTGTTATGAAACATTTCTGCTCTGAATTGCTACACAGAGACCATTTCAGAGGCAGAAAATTATTCCCGTCTTCCCAAGGAGGATCATATCCACAAAATCAGAGCAATGAGCTCTTTGCCTTGTAACCGTTGTCGCAGCAGAGCTTGCTGGTGGCACAGGTGCTGAACTACTTAAGGCTGTGTATTAGCAGAACATAAGTTTGTAGTTTATGTTCATACAGATGTCAGAAAGTGCTAATCCCTACTGAAGTGTTCACAAAGGCATTACACATGGTCACAAAGATAGCCTGCTGTTGTCAGTGGGAGCGTTGAGGACTTTGTCTAGAAAACTGAAGCTTCACTTGTTTGGGTAAATAGAAAAATCTGTGAGTGTTTCAATTTCTTTGACATCTGTTATGGCATGTGGTTAGGTCTATACTAGCGGGAGGTAGTAGGACACATACAAACCAGTCTGTAGTTGGATAATTCGGTGTAGTATGTCTTGGGAATCATTTGTCCTGCATCATGGATGGCAGAGTATTACTGCTTGTGGCAGTGGCTGGATATAGAACTGGGAAATGGTTTTCTTACAGTAATAAGGTGGTCAATACTTGTGTTTCTGTGGAGAGAGGGTAACTTGTTTGTACTTGGCCATAGAAGAGCAGATAGACGGTACATCCATTCTTGAGTTGCAGTGCAGGGGGTGATGGGACTGCAGGCTTTCCTTGGATGGGTCCCGGTAGGTGACGACAGCTTTGTCAGTGTCCAAGAGGAGTCAGACTGGAGAGATAAAGATTCTTCTTGACTGAAATTAGCACGCTTTGAAAGAAATGAGTTGAAAGATCCGTTTCTTAAAATACCAGCAGGTAACACAAACAGTCTTACAAAAAATAGCCCCAAACAAGCTCTGAAGTGGGCCGAGATACAGATTTTCCAGTGCTGTTCATTCTCTGTAGAATTGAGCAAGTGCAGCAGGTCAGGAGGAGAACAGTTTTGTAAATTATATGGCCTCTATTACATTCCACTCAAGAAAGATAAAATGAAGCTAGATGGAAAATAGATGTGACATCCATAATATGAGTTGTTTACCAATTCTGTTCAGCGCACAAGAGCAGAGGAAGGGATGTGAACAGTACTTGTAGAAAGTTGACTGAGAGGGAAATTACACAAGTCATGCACTTGTAAGGAGGAAAAAAAATTTATTTTTAAGTGAGTTGGATAAAAAAGAGTCATACAGAACAAAAGAACATGTTCATTGCTGTTCTGCCAATCCTGCCAAGGGAAGGAAGAATATCAGAAAACAAAAGGGACATTGATTTGTAGCTGATGGTTACTCATCAACAAGCTCCAGCGGGAAGGACTGAGGTGAGAGCTAAATGGCATATTGTGTTAATGCGTTGGTCTTGTATCTCCTGAGAGCCTCTTTCAAATTCGTAGTGAGGTCAGCGCTGAAATGAGTTTGCAGATCTCCCGAGATCCCTGGTGGGGAGCAGGCTGTTGGCCATGCACGTCGGTACAGCTGATGGAAGCAAAGGGTTGGCGTTGCCTTTGGGCGGTGCAGGGACGAGCCGGGACCGTGCCTCGCACCCGGGCAGAGGAGCAGCGTGTGCTGGGACGGGCTGGGCGGCTGCTGCTGGCCCGTCTGGACCCCCGCCTGCGTTGGCACAGACAACTTTATCGCGTGGTTCTCCATGTCAGGCAATGGTGAAAGCTGAGCGACAAAACCACACAAGCATCTTCTCCTCCTCAGTGCCTGAGCGTTGCCTTCAGTTGTCCTTACGTCCCGAGGGTCCCGTCTGTCGCCTGTGATCCTGAGTCCTTCAGCGTTGCCTTACCTGAAGGCAGAGGTGAGACTTGGCAAAGGCGGCTGCCACCCTTTAGTGGAAGCTCGGCAAAGAGGGGTGAAATCTGTGGTGGTTCCGGTGGCCTGGAAGGGGGAAAGCTCTGCCTGAGATCTGCCTGAGGCTGAAAGGAGAAACTGAAGCTGATGGCCAAGAGCCGTCACACGGCTGTGTGGGGGAACACTGAAGAGCGAGAAGCTCGGCTGATGTCCTGGGAAAGGAGCCCTGAGCAAGAAGTGCCAAGTGAGAAGGGCCTGCCAGAGTCACGGGGACGAGGGGAACCAAGGTGTTTTCTGCAGAGCGGCTTGGGAAGGTGCTGCCGGTTGGTAATGGTGCCTTGTCCCTGCACTTTGAGGCTCTTGTGGGTCTGTTCTCTAGGGAGATCTTTCAGGAACGGCCAAGTTTGCCGTCTCAAATTGAGAAGCAGAGTGTTGCTGCTGTTGGGCAGTGCCGGCCGTACGCAGTTCTTGGCTACCTTCCCCTTGAGCTGGGGTGGTTGGGCAGGGGGCAGTGCCTAGGGAGCTGTGCCCATCGCCGGCTGGCTGACGGTCGGTTCTCACTTGTGCGAGGTTCGGCGTGCCGCAGGCCCTCCTCCCCTGAGCTGCAGCAGCAGCCCCACAGCTCGGAGGACAAGACGGCAGGATTTGACGTGGCTGCAGATGGAGGCGCGCTGGAGAGGGCAGGTTCAGAGAGGGAACTGGCAGCGCACCCAAACAGAGACAAAAGCGAGAGGTGCCAAAGCTATCTGCAGTGGAAAAAAACCAAGTGGCTCGTTGGGAGGCAGCTGGCTGTATGAAGGTACAGTGCAATTGTTTCTCTCCTTTAGCTCGACTGACCTGCATTAAGACGTGCCGAAGCCGACTGCTCAGCTCTGCTCCCCCTCAGCTGGGCTCTGCCAGGGGTAAGGAGAGTCAGCAGTAATGCAGTGCTTTTTCAAATGCTGCATTTGGCTTTTTCTGCTTATTTAGGTCTATGAAACTTGCTTTTTTCTGACTTGCTGAGTACTTGGCAGTCGGTATTTACTTGTTTTTCTTCATTGATTTTTTTTAAAAAAGTTACTCAACATCATCTGCTTTCTCCTTATAAGACTTGCCAGTCAGCATAATCATCTAGTGCCACTGCGTATGCTGCGTGTGCTAGATGTACAGTGAGCATCTTAGTCCAGTAAAGGAGATGCAGGGTCCGGACTTCCGGAGCCCGTTCCTGGCTCTGCTCTTTGTGGGGTCCTGGTGACTTGGGCCAGGCAGGGGAGTTAGGACTGAAGGGCTCTGTTACTGTCTTGGCAGACCAAATCATAGAATAGAATCAGAATGGTTGAGGTTGGAAAGGACCTTTAAGATCATTGAGTCCAACCATAAACCTAGCATGGCCAAGTCCACCACCAAACCATGTCCCTCAGCACCACGTCTACATAACTTTTAAATACCTCCAGGGATGGCGACTCCACTGCTTCCCTGGGCAGCCTGTTCCAGTGCCTGACAACCCTTTCAGTGAAGAAATTCTTCCCAATATCCAATCTAAACCTCCCCTGGCGCAACTTGAGGCCTTTTCCCCTTGTCCTGTTGCACAGCTGATGTCTGGGCTGTCGCAGGACATAGCTGGGGGATGCGGAGCGGGAGAAAGAAGATCTGTAGTTGCTGCAGTACAGCTGAAACTGCCTCCTCATCCTGGCCTTGGCTGAGCAAGGGACAATTTAGTGGAGCTAAATTTGGCTCCACTAAATTTAGTCCAGCTGTGCAAATGTTTGCCGTTGCTGGCATGGCCCTTCAGATGCCCTGAGCAGCCGTCACGGGTCTGCGGGGCTGGCCCAGGCAGCGCTGGTTTGCCCTTCTGCACTTGGTTATGGTGGCATTTCCCGGGTCGAGCCTTAACTTTTCCTCATAAAATCTTTTGAACACTTTGAGTAAAGCAGCTTCAGTAACTCAGTTATCGTCCTCTGTTGTTACTCCAGTGGCATTCCTTCAAGTGTACTTTGAGGAACCCATGCTGTACCTAAGACATTCTTAAAATGACAAGATTTTATCTGACTTAAGAGATCACCCATCCAAGGACTGTGGATCATGAATATGAATAAGTAGCATTTTAGAAATTAATGTGTTTTATTAATTGAGTTTACCCTGTACATTAATAGTGTTCTAGCATATCGAAAATCTTACCAGAATACTCTCTTTATCAAGAAAATTAGTATCTCATGAAGATCATTAATGCCATATGATGTTAGGTCAGAGCTCAAAACTGGAATGTTATTCCAGATCTGGGGGAAATTACATTTTTGGTCACACATGGTAGATTTGACCTTCAACTCCCATCAGATCAGGAGGGCTTCATATCTGACACATGAGGATTTTCCCCTTCTCTCACTTAAGTATGACAGTTACAGGTTTTTTAGGTTTTGAGTGATTAGTTAATTGGTAATTATTTTGGAATTGAATCATAAATTTTACGATGATAACTGAATGATAATATGTTGACTTAAGTGTGGCAAGAAAATATATTAGATATTCAACTAACAGATAGCTGGTGAAAAACTGACATTTGATGAACAGATTCAATAGAAGCACAGCTAAATTGCATACTTATTTACTTGGATATGAATCCTCTAGGCAGCTGTGGGATCCATGTGTGTAACCCAGGAAAACTTGTCTTTAAGAGACCATCTTTCAACAGCAATCAAAGAAGTCATAATTCTCTTTTATGGAAGAACTTCAAAGTTTCCTACCAAATTCTCTGGACCTAAGAACATTATTTTCAAATGCATTTGTGCAGCAAACTCCCATCAAAACAAAAGAGCTAACAAAAAGCTCGGTGAGAAGTGGCCTTTGAGGCAATGGACTAATGGTATAGTTTACTGAAAGGTGTGTTTGACCTGTTCCACCTCTATTAACTGATTTCTAAGCAATCGATAGAGACTGAATGTTGTGGACCTCAGTCAGGATGTCAGGGGAGGGTTTTTCCCAGTGGGGTGCAGAAGCCCGGCCGTAACACCTGCAGGGCAGAGTCGGGACTTTGATGTCTTGGGCTTGAACATGGATGATTTGGAGTCTTTTGCAGCTGAATTAGATGGGCCAAATAAGACAGGGCTCAGGTTCTGAATTGTTAGGTGCTTGCCTGAAGAACAGTTTTGAAGCCTTAGAAATTCGCATTGATCGAGCAACTAGGGAGGTGTCTGAAGCGATGCTCATTTGCTGTGCATCTTCCGTGTAACTCCAGTGTAAGTTCTGTTCTTAAAAACTGTTGCGGAGTGGTACTGCTGGGGTCTTTGTGTTAGTGCTTGCAGTGCTAAGACAGTTCAGCAGCATGTCAGCAGTAATGCAGCTGTGCATTGCTTCTCTGTGGGTGTCATTAGCAGTCAGGTGTATGGCCACGCTCGGCTGGAATGCTGTTGGAGGAACTCTTACTGAGGAAAGGATCAAGATGCAAAACTGCCATACCCTCTGGCAGAGCGAGGCGTAGGGATCACACCCTGCGGACACCGTCCTGCGAGCAGTACGTCTCTTGTACCACCAGAAGTCTGTTCGTGAAGGTTCAGGCGTGGAGGTTCACATGAGCATCTGCAGCAGCAAACAGGAGATGAAGCAGGCTAGATTTGCAACTGGGAAACTTTGAAGAAGCTGGAAATACACTGAAGCGTGAAAGGATGCTGAAAGGATCATGCTACTGTGCCTACTAATGTGTAGCCGTCTTTTCTTGGAAATAGAAGATAACTTGTGCTCAGAAGAATATATAGTTTTACAGGGCAGAGGATAAAAGCATGTAAGGACAGGGACGAGTGTCTCTCTGAAGGAGAGAGCTTCTGAGATACCTAGGGTTGGAAGATTTCTTGCATTTGCTGTGTAAAGACGGGATAGGCCTCTTCTCATTTTGCCCTGTTAGACGGTGTCTGTGTTCAAAGGAAGGGATGTGTTCAGCCCATCACTGAGGTTAGCTAATGACAAATCTTAGCAAGTGCCAGCTCTGCTGTTAGAACAGGTTAGGCTTCTGGGAGATACATGAAATTAAAGGAGATTGTGTCTCCCAGAAGCAGATAACCGAGTGTGCAGTGTGTAAACACAAACACTGTGAGATAATAAAGTACTCAGAAATAATTCTGCAGCTTGAGACTGGTGGAAGCGAGGCTCAGAGGGGAGTTATTTAAAGTACTGGTCAGGTCCATTTGGCCTGCCAGCAGCAGACACGTACATGAGGAGTGTCCCTGGGCATCACCAAAAGCAGCGAATACAAAGAAGGGCAGAGCAGCCGGCGGAGGGCTCTGTGGGCAGTGCAGGGTCCTGGTACCAGGGCGATGGGCTGTCTGCTTGCCAGCGTGACCTGGAGGTGATAGTGGCTTGAGGGATGCGTGTATGTGAGCGGATGCAGAGAGCTATTGACCTTCTGGACCTTGGCTCAGTGATTGATGCCAAGGAGGCTTGGTGTGGTGGATAGGAAGAAAGGTTTGGTGCCTGTCATCCTGGGGCTGCCGGGCAGTGGGTGCTTGAGGAGGCTCTCGACAGGGTTGAGTTTCCACGTGGGAGCAGGGATGTGATAAGGAATGAGGGGCATTTGCACCACTGGAAATGTCACTGCTGGGAGCGTGCTGCTTCAGAACCTGGCGATGAAATCCCAGTGGCCAAAGTCACGCAAATACTGCGGGAAGATCCCTTGGAGTGATCCTGGAAGCACGAGAGGAGGGCTCAGCAGCACTCACCGGCCCTCGCTAGCTCCGGGAGCCCCAGCCTGGTTCTCCCCAGCTGGGGACGAGGTGCTGTGAGCCGCGGGCCGGGCCGTCAGCTGCTGCTCGTCCTGCTGCCCGGAGTGGGGTGTATGTACTTGTCCCGATATGCTTCACAGAATGGACTTCAGAAGCAGCAGGACATGAAGTGGGGAGGTAGGAAACCAGCCCTTCTGAGCCTGATGTTTTGCTGAAAGCAAGGAATGGGTTGTTACTATCACAAGCTTTGGACTGAATCCGGAGGAATGCCAAGTAGTTGCAGTTTTATCTTTAGTTCATGTAAGGATTTGCACTCTCTCAGTTGTGGAACTTGGGGGTTTAAAGCATTGCATGCATGGGGCCCATTATCTAGTGTTTTCTGGTGTGGAAGAGGAGAAGTAATTGGAATTTGCTTCCATGATTATTTCTGTGACATACAGAGTTGCCCTGTTTTTCCACTAGCCTTAGGGGCTGTTGCTTCATGCTTGGGTAAAGCTGTTTACTTTAAAAAAAAAAAAAAAATCCACTAGCATCTTTCCTAACTTCCCCTCTCCCCCCAAATCACAGTCTGCAGTGTGCTGGTCAAGACATAATCCTGTTCCTTTCCCTGTAGGTGACGACTTCATCAGGAAGTAAGTGCTTCTCGTGTCGTTCTGCAGCAGAGCGAGATAAATGGATGGAAAACCTGCGGCGTGCCGTGCACCCAAATAAGGTAGTGGCTTTGAGGAATTGCCTCTGTTATAGTTCAGTTCCTCGTTATTACATTCTATAGCCCACTGCATAGTAGCAGCAGGGGATGTATTGTCGTTTTAGTGACTAAGTGTAACTGTGGGTCAGCCTTTTTTCATATTGCTTTCTTCCACAATTATATTTACAGGCAAGTGCCAATTATTTCTTCCCCTCTTTTCTCAGCACATGCTGCTTTGGCTGTTGCTAAGAGTTGATCAGACCTGAAGAATCTTCAGTCTTGCTCTGTTACTGATGATACTTGCCACTTAGCTAGGACTTTTCACCTCCCAGAAGCGCTGGGACAGATGTCAGGTAGCTGCCAGCAAAGTTACAAGACTGAGTAGTCTAAAGAGTTCACATGTCACACTTGGTGGCTCTGGTAGTACTTGCAGTGTCTGCTTTAGTGACGGAGAAACTCAGATGCCCATCGCAGCGAGTTCTCTGAGGCGACAGTGGGATGTAGCTTTCCCTCCTCCAGCCTCTTGAGGTGGCAAAGTCATCCCCTCTGGGATGTACAGAAACAAATCCTTCCCTTGACTGGAACACGGGGACACCCTATATGCGGTTTTGTGGCCCACTAAGACTGTGTACATTCTAAAATAAAATCTACAGCTGCTTCTCCCTCTCTGCAATGGAGTTGGCTAACAGAGGTTGATCAGGACTAATCAGCTGCAGGATTTCACAACTGATGAGCTCAATCAGCAAGTCTTTTTCTACTGATCAGAGAAGACACAAATGGTGGAGTCCTGTGAATTCATTCTTTGCATTGGAGTCCCATAACTGAGCATACAAGTCAGGCCCAGGCCTGGCGGATTGCTGAAGGAGCCCTCTGTGCTGGAGTTTGTTGTTTCCAGCGCAGTGCCAAATGTCAGTCTAAAAGATTTCCTTCAATACCAGAGCAGGACCAGCGGAGGGGAGGGGTGGACTTCTGCCTCTCGCAGCGTGTACCTGTACGGGGAGTTCAGTGAGTCCGGTGCTTTCCGAGTGCAGCAGCCTGGTAGTGATGATCTGGAAGAACTGTGTGAGGTTTGCGTGGTCACGCTTACCATCAGAGAAGTCCCGGAATGTGAGTTGGGGCTGGGCACGTCACTATGGCTTTGAGATGCAGCGTTCAGTGGAAATTCATTTGGAAGTGTGCCCTCATCTCAAAACGTGCCATTAACTGAGGGCTGACTTTCCGTCTTTTGATTGAGTTCATAGACAATAAACTCTCAGTGTCTGACTTGATCTTTCTGTCAGAAATTCAGTGTTCTTGTATAGTTCCTGCGTGTGCTTCCTGAACCGACAGTACCCCATTGTGGACTTCCAGCAGCAATGTGCCTGCCCAGGCTCCTAGGCTGAGCAGAGCAAGCCGCGGTTGCTGTTTCAGTGAGGGGTTTCCAAACCAAACAGGTTACTGTCGGTTCAGCTGCGAGTGCTTTATCTTGCAAGTCACTCCTGCAACAAATGCCCCTGGATGTTCTTCCAGGATGAGGTCAGCGTCACTGGGGAGCTCTTAAAGATCCACAGTATCCTTTGTTCCTTTATTTTTTAAAAGATATCCAAGCCAAGTTTCTCTTTCTGAATTCTAGTGATTCTCCTGTGGAGCTCACTCTTGTCTCCCGTAATTCCTCTCCATGTTTTAGTTGGCTGCTCTGGACTTCGTCCCTAAAATATCGTGAGGTTTTGTAAATGCTTCTTTCCCTGCCAGAGGCGATTGCATTCCAGCCATGGATGAGGTGATCCCTGGGTATGCGTTCAGATCCCTTTATTGTTGCTCTGTTACAGTAAAGAAAATGTACTCCAGTGCTGCTGTAAAGCAGCTGTACTAAAAAGGGAGATGATTGTGCGGTACCTGTAACATAGCTTCTGTTTTGCAAAAGCCATTAAGGATGGGTAAGGTTCTTTCGTTTTTTTCTGCGGCCTTCTTGGCGGTGAATGGGAAATGGTACATTTATGATTTGGAGGGGTTTTATCTTCCTTGTTCCTTATATTAATTGGCACCAGCAGACATGGAGAGCATGGTGATATTTGGAAAATTAACATAAGTAGTGTTATTATGCAAATTCCTGAGAACCAGTATTTCCTTAAAATAAAATGTAATTAAGCCTCTGCTCATTTAACACATCCGAAATAATTAACTCATATCTCCAAGTTTTGTTGTGCTTGGCTTTGTGGAGTTTTTTTATTGACCTTTTTTTCATTGCATCTTTTTTTCAGGACAACAGCAGAAGAGTAGAGAATATGTTAAAGTTATGGATTATTGAAGCCAAGGACCTGCCAGCTAAGAAAAAGTACTTGTGTGAATTATGCCTGGATGACGTTCTTTATGCACGAACTACCTGTAAATTGAAAACTGATAATGTATTTTGGGGGGAGCACTTTGAATTTAATAACCTCCCATCACTCAAAAACATTACGGTGCACTTATACAAAGAGACTGACAAGAAGAAAAAGAAGGACAAGACCAATTTCATTGGGCAAGTGAACATCCCTGTCAGCTCTGTCACGGGCCGGCAGTTTGTAGAGAAATGGTACCCGGTGGTCAGCCCCAACCCTGGTAAGGGCAAGTCCCCGGGGCCCATGATCCGCATCAAGTCACGCTACCAGAGTATGAGCATTCTTCCCATGGAGATGTACAAAGAGTTTGCCGAGTACATCACTAACAATTACATGGTGCTGTGCTCGGTGCTGGAGCCCTCGCTGAGCGTGAAGAACAAAGAGGAGATGGCGTCTGCGCTGGTGCACATCCTGCAGAGTACAGGCAAGGCCAAGGTAAGACCCTTCGCCATCCGTGCCATCCCACCAGAGACCATCAGGAGCAGACTCCTGTGTTGGGTTTTGGAAATCACCACATCAGTTGGGCTTCAGGCCATCATTAATACACTCTAATTTTGCTTTTAATTACAAACAAGTTGGTAGCATGTGCGGTGCAAATTGCTTAATTAAGAACTTCAGTGGGACCACAAGATACCAACCGAGTCATTTTTCGCTCCTTCTGGAGGCTCAGGGGCCAGGCTCTTACCTTTATACGCAGACAGCAACGTGAAAGTAAGCAAGAAGGCAGTTTTTGGGGATGAAGTGTAAGCAACACTGGCTTAAGCTAAGCAGCCCATGTGTGCTGGGTGTTCCTGTGGGACCCCAGCAGGTTCCCCGCTCCGCTCCCTCCCTGTGACCGTGCTGCTGCACTGAGCACCCAGCACAGCGGGAGCTGAGCGGGAGTGAACGGCCTCTTCAGAATTTGAGAGCAAAATCCGCTGCGGGCACGCGTGTCTCTGAACCAGCTCTCAGCCTTCAGGGTCTGTCCTGATGCTTTTGGAAGGGAGAGGGCGGGGGCAGCAGTGCAGGAAGGCGCAGGGGTCCTGGGGTGCTCCCAGGGCAGTGCACGTTGCGGGGCTGATGCCAACCAAGTTGCGAGTGGTGGAAGTTCAGTCTTTGTGGTCCACTTTGTCCAAACGTCCTTCATGGTCGGGAATCCCTCGCCAGGTCTGGGGAAGAAGCAGGGCAGGAGGAGACAGAGAGTGGGATTTACTCCTGGTTGTGATCTGGGACTGTACAGGCGGGGTGGGCAGAGCTGGAAACCCCCTTACTGGAGAGCACAGGCGAGCGCTGAGGTCCCCGGCACGTGGGGCATGGAGTCGCGTGACCCGTCTGCTGCAGAGCATCCTTCGTCCCCAGCCGTGGTGGGCAGAGCCAGGGTCAGGACTGCAGGAGTTAAAGCATCAGCGTCTTTCTCTGTTAACATCTCCCTGATCTCTGCAGGGGGGAGCTGGGGAAGAGCAAGATTTCCAAAGCTTTTGCAGTGCTGAGCAGGCGTGAGCTCCTCACCTGAGGGGGTGTCGCAAGGCTCTGCTTCCTCCGCAGCTGCCACTGCTGCCTGGGACCGTGGCAGGGTTCGTGGATTAGATTTAGTTACCATCTGTTGGACAGAGAAGTGGCTTGGCCTCCTGATCTAGTTCAAGGCAGGCAAAGCTCACTGAGAGGATTGCGAGGCCGTGGGCCTGCTATTGCAGAGGCAGAGAAAATAGCTCAGTTAAAGCCTCCTGGATCCCAGGCAGCAGTGCCAGACCCCAGGAGCTCAAGGACAGACCACGGTCCTGGTCCCTTTGGCTGCGTTGCCCTCAGAGGCGACCGAAGTGGCTTGTGATTCACGGCGTGTGAAATAACGCTCTGTGGTTGCACAAGGAGGGCATGACGGGCGTCCCTCGCCTCGCGCCTTGTGCCAGGGCTTCGGCACCTTCAGCTCGTGGTTTCTGGGCTCAGCCTTGCCTTCGGCTGGAACCGCTCCTCCCCGCGCTCCCCTTCGCTGCCGCTCTGGCGGCACTAGTGCCAGGGCTCTTGCTGGAATAACACTGCCGTGAAGGACCCTGTCTGTGGCTTACGGGGTTCTGGTGCAAAAGGCTTCAAGTGTCACCCCAGTCTCAGTCACCATGGATCATGTGCGGGCATGGCTGAGAGCTGCTGTCACTGCTCCTGCCTTTTTCCTCTTCTCGTCGGTACTGGGGAGGCTCCAGAGAGTGCAAGTGTGTTTCTAGACATGTGTCTGCATCAGTGCTTGAGCTCCCAGAGGCTCTACACGGGGGACACAGCAAACAGTAAACAGACTTGATGAATTTCCCTCTAAAATGGAGCTTCTGCTTTCCCTGCCTGTCATCTGCCATCAGCATTAGCGCAGGGTTTAGGGAGCTGTCGGAGCAACAGGAGTTACTGGAGCATGGGAACTGGGTGGGGCATCCTTGGTAGACAAGCAGAGAACGGGAAAAGCAGGAGTAAAGTAAAAAAACAATGAATGGGGGACGAGAACACCCCCTCGCCCCTGCCTGTGTGACATGGGTGCCCCCCACCACCACTCAGGAAAGCTGCCCTGAGCACCATGGCCCGACGAGGGGACACAGCCCCAGGAGACCGGCAGGCTGGTGCCCGGTCGGCACGGGGAGGCTGTGCCGGTGGTGTGGTCCCTGCCCTCTGCCAGGCAGCCCCTCTCGGCCCGCTCCATGGAGAAGGACCAGACAGGATGAGTCCAGGTGCTTAAAGGAATCTGATTGCCAGGCTGCTTGCTCTCCCCCTCCCTGGGCATCGCCTGGCTGGCCCTTCCGCAGGGCTCTGAGCATCTCCCTGGAGCTTCTACACGGAAACAACAGCCTCTCTCTTTTTCTTCCCAACTAGTCTGCAGGAGAAACCGTTTGTTTCATTTTTCTTGTGTTGGTAGGTAAGGTGGCTCTGTATGTGTTTGTGTACGTGGGGGAAGGCACGCGGCTGCAGGCAGGTCTGGCTCTGAAGTGTGTCTTTTTTTGTGCTGAGGGCACCGTTCCCTCGGCCCAGGCTGAGCCAGCACCAAACACCAGCTCGTTCAGAGGCGACGCCGGGCAGGAAGGTGAAACACCCACGGCCCGTGTGTCGTAGGGCACAGTGGGTTTTGAAATGGAGTGTGGAGCCGGGGAGGAGGAGAACAGATCTCCGTGGGCCGGGAGCCCAGCGGGCGGGGATGATGCCAGGGGAGCCGGCGTGGTGCTGGGTGAGGCTTGCGGCTGTAGAAAGTGGGGTGGGGTCCCAGCCTCCGCTGGGTGAGGACCTCAGCCCAGTGCAGCCGCAGTCAGCACCCTGCTCCCCGGCACTGGGAGCGGGGCAGTGACCCCCTCCTCCAGGCCCCTCTCCTCCTGTGACCTTCTGAAGCCGGGCCGGGCTGGAGGGGGCTCCCTGTCCTTGGGCCTTGCCAAGAGCCTTTCCAATGACCTCTTCAGAGCCCTCCCCTGCCCTGAAGAGTGCAGACGTGGCAATCAGCAAGCACTAATTTATTTTGCTGATAAAAGGGTTTTTGTGGATCTTGGCTGCTGTAGCTGATGCTAAAGCAGCAAGCAATTACAGTTGGACTGAGAAACAAGTGTCCGGTAGATTATCTACGAAGACTCGTTAGCAGCTAATTGCTCTTGCACTGTTTCAGGCCCTGTTTTCCTGTAGCGATTTGCTGTAAATATGGTGTAATCCCTTAATGAGGCACGGCCGATTGGGTACACGCGTCCACCCAGAGCCACGCTGCAGGAGTTCCCGTGCAGGAGAGGTGTGATGTGGTGCTGCGCGGATGATGCCGTGTGTGCCAGCCGCAGCCAGGCCCCCGGCAGCCCCGCAGACGGCAGAAGAGCGATCCTTACCCACAGACACCCCGCTTCGCTCCTTTGCAGTATTGCAAATATGACACCCCACCAGCCAGGTGTCGTTACCTGAAGCTGCTAAAACCCAGAGGCGCTGCCCGAGTCCCTGCTGCCGGAGAGGCAGAGCACGTAGAGCTGTAGCTGAATTTTCTCCGTAAATGCCTGCTTCTTCCTGGGCTTTATAGCCGTATCACAATAGATTAAAAGGTGGAGAATGAAAGGAGAGAGTCCTCTCTGGAGTTGAAGTCCATGCTTCTTTTGATCTCTGTTTGGGAAAGGGACGAGCTTCATCCCTGCAGTGCTGCGCATCAGGGCGCGCCTGGAAACCCCTGAGCAGCCGCCAAGGCAAATAGGTGAGGAAGAGGGGGGAAAGCGTTTGAGGAAGCTGAGAGGGCGGAGAGGCTGGCTGTGGGACCTGCCCCAGCCCGCTGGAAAGTCGGGCAGACAGCCGGCACGCAGTCACTCTCTCCGTGCAATCGGTCGTTCGGTGTCTCTTACGGCAGGTGGGGGCTGGACGAGGCATCGCTGTGCTGTAAGAGGGACGTGGGCTCATGGCATCTGTCCTTGACTTGTTACGTGCTTCCATCTTCCCAGTGAGAGCACTGATAAAATGTTACCTGTCAGGGTATGGAGAGATGCCTAACTATTTCCATGTGTTTTGCAACCCACAGATGAAAGACACAAAGTCATAATTAAAAGTATTTCTGTTGCCATGCTTGGTGTTACTGGGAGTGCTCACCCCTGCCGTTAGCGTGGCTCGGTGTGGCCCCTGTGATGTGGTTATGGACAGGCAGGCTGCGTCCTTCCCAAAGCGAGACCAATTGTGACTTTCGATGCTTTCAGAATATTTCCCATGCTTAGATTTTTTTTAAGACCTGTCTTACAGCTTTTGGAGCTCAATTCATGACCATGAATGTATTACAAAAACTCTCTTGTCCGAATGGTTGGTAGATCAAACCCAGCATTAGGCAAAGCTCTAACTAACCAGCTGCTCACTTGAAATAAATATTTACTGTGTTTTGAATGTAGTGAAGAATAAACACATGTCCCTGTTTGTTTATGATGCGAGGATTTGCCTCAGCTAAACAGATGTGTTTACTCCCCCCGTGCAAGCCTGCTGGAAACGCCCCCCGTTCCCCCCTCGGCGGTGCGGGGGGTTTGGGCAGAGCCCCCCGGGCAGTACCAGATGAAGTGCAGGACCTGCAGATACCGTGCAGGGCTGCCTAAAAGTGACTGCTCGGCTCGGCTCGGGGACCTGGAAATGAGCGGCACGGCCCGGGAAGCTGCTGGGCTTGGAGGCTGGTGGTACCGGGGCTTGGTTGGTCCCTTCGGGGAGCACCGCTCCCTCATCCGCCCGGGGAAGGCTGCGGGCGCAGGGAAGCGGGGATGCTGCACACCTTCAGCTGTAGATGAGGCTGGCAGCAGCCATATTATTTCCCCTGCAAGGAGTTTATCTCCCTGATAATATTTTATAGCAGCCATAGGTGAGCTAATAAGGCTTTTAATCAGTTTTATGAGTACCCCCACCGTTTTTCCCCCTCTCCCTAAACACGGCGGTCAGGCTGGTTGAGAGGATGGAGAAAGCCGGTGAGCGGCAGTCGGAGGGATCAGGCTTCTGGCCATCAG